TGTATACCTAAATTGTACCAATAAAATTAATTTTTAAATAAAGAATAAAAATCCTTAGGTAATTCAGAATTTTCTATTTCAAAGGTGCTTCTTATTAGCCAGGGATTTAGCTCAGTGGCAGCACGCCTGGCTCGCAAACGCAAAGTTCTGAGTTCAATCCCTGGTACCAGAAAAAAAAAAAAGTGCTTCTTATTTAACCCTCACAACAATCCTGTGGGGTGGAGTTTGTTATTCTAGTTCTAATCCCCCTTCCCCCCCAAAAAAAGGTTCCATCAGCAACTGGAGGTGACAGACCTGGTTTTGATTTCTGACTCTGCCCCCAACTGGGTAAAGTGAGCAAGTTACTCAACCTAAGATTCAGTTTCCTCATATAAAACGTTCAGATAGTAATAGTATATACCACACAGGATTGCTATGAGGATAAAATGAAAAACAAAAAAAATTTTAATTAAGATTATTGGTAAAATTTTTTGCATAAAACATTTTAATTATTAACAAAGTATCTCATACTCAGTATAATTTTGAAGAATTTTTTCCTATTTCACAATATCTATTATTCTGTTTGGTCGTTATTTACACTTTTGGTTTCTCACACACCAAAGAGACAATGCAATATTTACACGTGTGTCTGATTTATTTCACTTAAGAGTATGGTCTTGAGGTGCATTCATTTACCTATAAATGTCTCAAGTTTGTCCTTCTTTATGGATGAATAGTACTCCATTATATAAAATAATCTTTTTTACCCATTCATCAGTTGATGGGCATTTGGCTTGTTTCCAAGATTCAGCTATTACAAACTGTGCCACTATAAACATAGGTACACATATATTGCTATGGTATGATTTTTAAAAATTCTTTTGGAAAGATACCAAGGAGAATAATAGCTGGGTCAAATGGGGCCTCTAGTCCTAGTTCTCTGAGGTATCTCCATACTGATTTCCACAGTGGTTGCACCAGTCTCACTCCCACCAACAGTGGAGCAGGGTTCCTTTTCCCAACACTGCCAGCATTTGTTGTTGATTGATTTCTTGATAGCAGCCATTCTTTCTGGAGTCAAATGGAATCTCAACATTGTTTTAATTTGCATCTCTTCAATGACCAGTGATGTTGGACATTTTTTTATGGGCTGGGGATATAGCTCAGCGTCACAGCACCTGCCTGGCAAGTGCAAGGTCCTGAGTTCAATCTCCAGTACCCAAAAAAAAGGGAACATTTTTTCATATATTTATTTGCCATTTGTACTTCTTTATCTGAGAAGTGTGTATTCATTTCAGATGCCCATTTCTGGATTTGGGTGGGCTGATTTTTTCTTTATATGTTCTAGATATTAGTCCTTTGAGGAACTACTGGCTAAATTTTTTCCCCACTCTGTGGGTTATGTCTTCACACTACTGGTGATTTCTTTTGCTGTGCAAAAGATTTTTGATAAGACAAGATCCCAGTTGTTGATTCTTTGGAATATTTCCCATGCAGTCTGGGTTTTTTTCATAAAGTCTTTGTCTACTTCTATGTCCCTAAGTGTTCTACCTATTCTCTCTTCCAGAAAGTTTAATGTTTCTGTCTTAATATTTATATCTTCAATCCATTTCTATATTAGTTTAGTGCATAGTGAGAGACATGAGTCTAGTTTTAGTCTTTGATATGTAGAAAGCCAGTTTTTCCATCACCATTTATTAAAGAGGCTATCTGTCTTCCAGGGAGGGTATTGGGCCCCTTTGTCAAAGATAAGGTGGCCGAGTATGTCTGGAGTTATTTCTGTATCTTCTAGTCTATTCCATTGATCTTCAGGTCTGTTTTTTTGCCAGTACTATGCTGTTCTTATCATAGTAGTTCTGAAGTATAATTTCAAGTCAGGGATTGTGATGTCTCCTGCCTTGCCTTTGTTGCCCAGAATTGTTTTTGCTATTCTAGGTCTCTTCTGATTCCAAATGAATTTTAGGAATTACTTCTCTAGTTATGTGAAGTATGCTATATACAGAAGCACTTTATCCATGGAATCTGATAAATAATGATTATGTCATACTTTTTTTTAAAATAAGAAAAATTTTAATTGCACAGATGGATTTTTTTTATTTGTTTGATAATCCAGCTAAAATCAAGTCAGTATTAGCTTTAAACTGTTTCATTTTATACCAATATGAGAATTTTTAAATTATCCACTCCAACTTACAGCTTCTCAGAAAAATAATTATGTGTATATGTATTATGTGCTTAATATGGACATTTCTGCCTTAAAAAATAAAACTACCAAAGCTCTTCTAAATAATTATATACAACTTTTTCCAAAGTTATACACAAAATAATTATTGAACATATTTCCCACTACTAATTACACATGACAATTTATATCCTTTTCTGTCTGTACCTGAAGTTGTATAATTTGTACCAACAGTGCATACTTACATCTGTCAGCACGCTGTCTGAAGGGTGGTGCTCTGACTCTGTTTGTGTTCATGTCTTCCACAGGAAACACTTCCTCAGGACTGGCCAAGAATCAGTACCTTAGAAACAACAAAGTCACTGCTGGGCACAGGGTCCTGCAGCCAGACACAGCAAGGAGCAATTTCATAATCTACGCTATTGTCAGTGCCAAATACATGAATAAATTTCTTTTTTTTTTTTGTACCAAGGATCAAACTCAGGACCTTGTGCTTGCAAGGCAGGCGGTGAAACCACTGAACTAAATCCCTGGCCCTACATGAATAAATTTCAATGTTCTTAAATTTCTACACTTCTTTCATTTAAAGGCAGAGACCACAGATTCAGCCAATAATTTTCTGTTGATATTGTAATCTGTGAATAAAAACCATAATTATTGCAATTATTACTCTTACTCTGTAGCCACTCGCTGCCATACATCATTCAGTTGAGCCTTCATGACACCATGTGTCATCTTGCAGATTGATCAAAACTTTTTTGTTTTTTACTTTTTGGTTCCACAGCTCTTTATTTCAAGCTATCTCCTGCTCACCTTTTTTGGTTTCAGCCATTCAAGTCCTGAGGCCCTCTTCCCAGCTAGTTTTTAAAAATTATTTTCTGAGGAACTGTGAGCTTCTCCTTCGCTGGCTCTGTAAAATATGTTACATAGTCAATAATTTATTTTGTGTTTTAAATTATGTTCAAAATTTTTATCATGACAAAATATATGTAACATACAAATTACCATTTTAATCACTTTTAAATGTACAATTCAAGGTGGGTGTGGTGCCGCATGCCCATTATCCCAGTACTTGGGATGCTGAGGCAGGAGGATTGCCACGAGTTTGAGGCCAGCCTGGGCCACATAGCAAGACCCTGTCTCAAGAAAAAAAAAAACAAAACACGTACTATTCAATGACACTAAATATATTCACAATGTTGTGCAACTACCACCATTTCCCAAACTTTTCTATCATCTCCAACAAAATTTTATATACCATTAAGTAATAATTCTCATCCCTGCCCCTCCAGCCCCTGGTGTCCTCTAGCCTATGTTCTGTCTTTATGAATTTGTCTAGTCTAAGTATCTTGTATAAGTGGAATCATTCAGTATTCTTTTCATGTCTGGCTTATTTCACATATGACATTTTCAAAGTTCATCTATGTTGGAACTCCATTCCTTTTTTTTTTTTGTACCGGGGATCAAACTCGGGCCCTCCATTCCTTTTTATGGCTGAATAATATTCCACTATACAGATATATCACCCTTTGTTTATCCTTTTATCTGTCACTACACACTTGGGTTGCTTCAGCCTTTTGGCTATTGTGAAAGATGCTACTTTGAACATTAGTATACATGTATGTATACATGTATACATGTATGTATGTGTCTGAGTCACACATACATTTCACTAGGAGTGAAATCACTGGCCGTATGTAATCCTATGTTTAACATTTGTAGGGACTGCCAGACTATACCATTTATATTTCTACCAGCATGAGGGATCTACTTTTTCCACATCTTTGTCATTTATTTGTTTCGTTTTCTAATAGCTATTCAAGTGGGTGTAAAGTGATATTTCATTGTGGTTTAGTTTTGTGCTTTCCTAATGGCTAATGGTGGTGAGCATCTTTTCATGTGCATATCTTCTTTGAGGAAATGTCTATTCAAGTCCTTTGTCCATATGTGAATTCGTTTTGGTTGTTGACTTATAGTTACTTAAATACTCTAGAAAGTAACCCTGTATCAAATATGTGATTTGTAAATATTTTCTCCTGTTCTGTGTGTTTTTTCATTCCCTCCAATGTCCTTTAATGCACAAATGTTCATAATTTTTCTTCTTTTTTTTTTTTGGTACCGAGGATCAAACTCAGGTCCTTGTGCTTGCAAGGCAAGTGGTGGAACCACTGAGCTAAATCCCTGGCCCACAAATGTTCATGAAGATATGGCATTACTATTCACATAGCCTTCTGGAAAAAACTTAAAGACAAACTTTGTCGTGAAAAAGAATG